AAAAGCCACGCAAATAATATCGTCGCTTTTCATAAATATAATTTGTTGAATGCCAATTCTTTTTTCAACAAATCTTCATGACAGAAATATTGCATTTAAGAACAGTGACAAATGTACGATAATAAATGTTAAAGCCTACGGTATACGCACTGTTAATGACATGAAGGTATTTCAGAATGAGCTTGTCAAATTATAGATTTTCATACATCTTTCGCATCCTTCACATATATAGACAATTTAAAGATTTACAATCAGATTACCCATAAATTTTAATTTTGAGTGTGAGGAGTTTTTTTCGCAAAATAGCAGTTTCCATGTCGTTAATCAAGTGCGTACTAGAAGTATTATTCATCGTTTTTTCACACAAAATTACCAGAGGTGATAATGAAAAATTCTGGAAATCTTTTCCATACATTCTGATTTGTCTTGGAAATTGATTACTCTACGACTCTTCAGAATGTTTTAGAAGGATAGACAAAATTACAATTATTACAACATTAGTTATAAATAAAAACGAAACATGACAATGAATTTGTAATGTTATAATGTATTATTCCGTTATATTATTTTAATCACAATTCAATATTTATTATAAAAAATATACGTGTTTCACATAAAGGAAATTTCCCAGGAGGAAATCTCTTTCTCATAGTTTGGAACATTGTCACACTCTTATTGACTTTTGACGAATATATCAAGAAAGCACACTGACTGTAAAACAATGTCGTGCGAATTCGATCAGCCGCGTTTATTTACGGACGGAATTCTCCGTAAAGACATCAGATTTCAGTCATTTTAGATGGAGTTTGTGCATTTTTTTGTGGATTTCGGAGATAAGTTTTTATTATATAATAAAATATATAATAATTATAGATTTTCTAGGTTTGCGAATATATTTATATTTATATATATTTACATTTATATATTTATATATTACAATAAAGTGTCCAGGTATTTATATAAATTATATTTATTTATATTTATAATTTTTATTTATATTTATAATTGTCTTTAATAGATTTTAAAAATTTTCAATTGAGTATAAACTGCACTATAAGAAATGCGTCAAATCCATTTTGTGGATTAACAAACCGTAAAGTGACGGATAGTAGCATTTCACTTTATAAATTTCTAGTTAATGATAGTGATCGTTGTATGTATGTCGTGGCTGATCAACTGTGGATTAGACGATTGAGTGGAAATGTCTAATAATTCATAAAAATTTTAGTTTATGTATATTGTATATTACTAAAAAATAAATAAATGTACATTTCAAGAACTAAGAAGTGTTGTTTAAAATAATAATAAAAGTAATTAAAAGTAAGTAAATTAATTAAGAAGAATTAAATGTAATTAGTTATTAAAAATCCTGCTCCTGATTTTAAATTTAAAATATTATGTTTTTTATGTTTTCGCTTTTTGACAAATAGAACAGTACTCGACATAAAAAGATCTGCTTAAAATGCACTTTAGCAAGTATGTTTTGAATAAAAAATCTGAAACCTATTTCCCTTTAAATATTTTGTTTGAATTCGTCAAGCTACGAGTCTTAAAATTCGATCAATGACCAAAATACAAATCAGAGAAAGATGTATAAACGCGACGAAAAAGGTCCACACATTTTTACATCAAGAAGCTAGCGACAGCTAGTCGAAAATCTTATCTTGCTCTAATAAAATTCTGTGAAACTATAAAGTTTAAGTTCTTAATTATATTCTTACAACATAACATTTTCATTTGTCATTTTTCGTGGGGATTTCAATTTCAAGAAACCGGATCTCAGTTTATTATATATCATTCTATTACAAATATTATAGTCGTCAGACTCGAATCAGATTTAAATTTAGTAAATTAATTTATAATGTCACTTGTACACTCATATATATCGCAGTTTCAGATATATTTCAACAAATAATATCATACGTGAGTCGTTGACTTTGTCTTAACAACTGCTATGAAAAAAAATATAAAATTCCATTTCATTTGAAATTTATTCCATCACGAAAATATAATTTGCGCCATATAATGTACCCCTTTGTACTAAATTTGTTAATATATTTGTAAATACATTCTTTTAGTCGATTTTGCGAGATATATAAGGATATATTTCGTATATATGTTTATATTTTTCATTAAATCTTCATGAAATATTAATGATTTATGTTAAATAAATAACAAATAAATAATTAAATAAATAACTATTATTATCATAATATTAATAGGCAAGGTAGTTTATAGAAAAATTTCGAATAATATTTTCATTAATAAGCGTAATTTTTAACTAATGAATTGTAGAAATTATATTTTTTGTCATAATTAATGCACTGCATAATTATAAAATTGTTAAAAATAAAATAACATAAATTTGATAATTTAAGATTAATAATTTAAAATAGTTGTAAATTTATTTAATAGTTAAAGATTGTTTTTAAGAGTGTTTAATACAATATAAATCATTTATACATAAAACCATGTATTAATAGTTTTAAAATTTACTGTATATATTGAAAAAAGTTGTGATCCGTGAAAGATAGAGCTCTTTTTGATATACAATGGAATGATTTCGGTTAGTTACTAGCTTCACATTTCGGTATTGAAAGTTTGACAACACCGTAGTAGATCTCAAAAATAATGTTGCTGGAACATTTATTACTTGACCAACCTCGATCGTTTTACTTGATGTAATTCCTCAATTCACCGTTGTATAAACGTATAAAAACTGTATAAAAATCAGTCATTTTTTAATATATCGGTTTTTCAGGTCACGGGCCACGAAACCACGTAAGATGCTTGGTCTATTAATATACCTCGTCGATGGCTACGGTAAACTCTCATATTCGGGTGGTAAGGAAGCTACCGACAATAAATCATCCGGCAGCTCTGTGTCTGCCACGTGGATTTGTTCAACTTTGTGTTCGTATTCGTTTGCGTATTGCATCATACTTTTATTCGATTGTGCGTACGAACCAATTCCTTGATTAGCGTCGTTTTTTTCACGATACCTTTTTATTTAAACGCATTTTCTAATTTCTCCCATGTCTCTTTTGATGTGTTAGCCTTTTTTTACATACATGAGTTAACCTTGTGTGCTTATATTAAATAATGTAAGCGCTTTTGCGTCTTTTCTTGCCCATTCTACCTCGTTTTGTTCCGTTTTCATTTCACTTCATCAACGACTGACCATAAATCATTGTATACAAAGATATTTTTCATATGCACTTTCCACAATCCATAATTGTGTCGTTTAGTCTATCTACGTTTAAAAGGTTGTGCATAGACGCTATGATTTCTTTTTTCCTTCATTTATTTATTCAAGTTCGTCACACGTGATTAATTTTTAGTTACAGTTTTCACGCAAGGGAACCGTTCTGGACCCATAACCTGTCAGAGTTTATTTATTGAATAAGAATACGCGATAACATAATGGATTGAAAATATATATATCATAAATGAATGTTATAAATAAATATTATAATATATAAATAAATATAAATATAAATATAAATATAAATACAAACATAAATACAAACGTAAATACAAATATAAATACAAATATAAATAAATAAACAAGTAAACAACCAAACAAACAAATAAACAAATAAAAAATAAATAAACAAATAACAAACAAATAAGTAAGCAAATAAATAAATAAACAAAATAAATAAATAAATAGCAAATAAAGAAATAAATAAGTAAATATATATGTACGTTCTGAACGACGCCTCGATATCAACTGCCCGCAAAGCCAAGTCATTTATTTACTTGACGACAAAAGACAATCACACACTCATACGTCTCACAGCATTAATTGATATATTCCAACAGTTAAACTAATTGCATAGAAATCATGATTTGTTTTCTCTTTTATATTTGATTTGTCTTCGTTAAGTAACGTTAATTAAAAGTATTCGTAATTTTTATATTTTATTTTATCTGTTTGAAAGTATATAACTCTTCATTTCTAATAATCCAATACAAAATAACTATTATTAAAATTAACTATTATTAAAACTGTATCTCTACGACAAAGTTAATGTGTTAATGTACAAAGTCAGTTTGAAACAAAAAAAAAAAAAGATTTGAACTTTAAAAACTCAATAAACAACTTTCATTTACAAAAGTTGCATTTTCACTCTTGTGCACCTATACGGATTTTAAAGGTGCTGAGAGTCAACTATATTATATATAATTATAACATTAATCCATCAAAATCCATCCAGTTATTTCCAAATATAGTCCAAACAAGTAGAAACATAAACAATATTTACAAATAACAATATATACAAATATTTACAAACAAAGTATTTTCAAGATATGCTGCTGTGAGTATTTTTCAAAAAAGTTTCATAATATTTGTATGTGCCTTAGTTAACTTTGAGCCTATCGTCAATCTCATTTTTCTTCTTGACTTCCTTTTTATGTTTCTTGAGCAATTATTTCTATTTGAAAAATCTAGCATAGAGACTGAAATACCTGAAGTACATCAGCAGACCGATTTGGGCGTAACAGAACACTCAACTTCACCGCTTCTTGCATAATTATGAGTTACAATAATTAGGAATCCTAAATTATTTGCCCGATCCATAGCGTAATGATGGTCATGATTATCCACTTCAGTGGATTGAATCGTATTGCTTTTAAAGTATAATACATCCAAATGTGAGTGAAAAAGTTCATCGTGCCGTTCTGTCTGGAATAGGACGTTGTCTCTATAAAACATGACGAGTAAAGGAGAACTGTTACGTCATGGTACCAATGTAGAAATCAATGCTTTTGTAGTAGGATGAATACTTTGATAGAATGACCCGATCTTATGCGACGCTGGAAATTATACTATTTTTATTGTAAATTAATATTTAAACAATATTGTTGTATATTATGCATTAGCGTTATGTATTTTGATTCTTAATTGTTTGAGTATTTAGTCTGCACTAGAGCATTGTATAGATAACTTCACAACCTGTAATAAATAATCAATAATAATAATAATAATAATAATCAATGAGAACTTAATTGGTTTAATTAGTAGAGATTCAAAGAGAATAATTATATTGCGATATATTGAATAAATATATCAATAGATACATGTTTAAAAATTAATGCTTACATGCTTATATTTTCTTATAAATCTTGTTGGATCACTATCAAAATGGAATCATCTAAATAACTTGGTTGTTTTCAGAGATAAGGATAAATTTTGTTAATAAAAATTATTCGAAAATTAGGAGCCGTAACAGTAATAATTTTTTGTAGATAAAGGGATTTTAAAAATTTAAAGGTCATTTTCACTTTTATGTATAAAGGTATACATACGTACATATATAATAATGATATATTCTTTTATTCGTTAATCGATGCATCTCGACATTCTTTATAAAAAAAATATTAAATTATGTATATCGAAATCTAGATTAGGAGATATTTTATTGTCTGTTTCGGTTTACTCACGTACATATTTAATGGCTTAATCACAATTTAGTAATGTAGAAATGTTGTGTAATTAATCAGGTATAATTAATTT